ACCCGAACTCGACCTGGTTCGTGTTCAAACATGTCAGGTTCGGGTCAACCCGAAATGACCGGCCAACTCGATTTTCTAATCAAATTTTGGCATTTTTTTATATTTCAAATTTATTTAAATAAATTTATTAATTTAAATAAATTTATTAAAGTGCAAAATAGTAAAATACATATAATTATTAGATTATTTGAGCAAATATAAACAAACGCAAATTATATTTACAAAATATTAAAATGAATTGTTAAATGAAATTATTTGTTTACATTGAATTTTATAAAAAATAATGCAAACATAAACTACATTTACTAAATACTAGTATACATTACAATTTTAAATTTACATTGTTATACAAATATTGAAACAATTTAATTAAATTTGGGTCAAAGTTAGGTTCTCAGGTCAACTCGAACTTGACTCGAGTTTTAAAACATGTCAAGTTTTTAAACCCAATCTCGACCCATTGGATAAACAAGTTGATCCAAACTTAGAACTTTTCTGGGTTGAGTCCAAGTCAGTGTTTCGGGTTGGGTCAAATTTTGACACCCGTTTCAAGACTTCTTAATTGATAGTCAAAACGCCAAACCAACATATCAAGATGTGTTGCATTCTACGACACCTTTGATTTGAATGCTTGCTGCAAAATTATGAAATCAGGTGATTTCTTAGCAAACTTTTGTTGGTTTCATCTTTATATTACTCTTAGCTCCTACAAATTTAAGGCATCTGATTCTTTGCCTTCAGTTTGCCATTTTATTGAAAGATTTGAGAAAAAATCTCATCTTTAGTTAGTAATTTTTGGCTTAACAATAGAGTGGATAGAATGCTCTGGATGATATCCTGTATTATAACCATTAAACTTATTGATAAGATGGTTTAGGCGTACCTTTTTTGAATATCTGAAACCTTATGTGTAAATCTAAACTTATTTACCCTTTAAACTTGCATTGTTGAATAGAATTTCTTTTATACTTGTCAATTTCTCATAAGTCTCAATTATTCCGTGCGGACGCCAAATGTAGCTCTACATCCGGATATCAATCAGAATGAGCCATGTCAATTATACCGAGCAGCATCACCGAGTAGTACCAAGCCGCGGGCTTAGAAATCCGGATGGATTCCGCTTCCGCACAGAATAATTTTTCCACTTTATGATCATATAAACATATTCTTCCAACACAAGAATTCTTAGACCACACAAAAAACACAAAAGCACAAGCTCCATTTATTCTAAAAGTTAAATACATGTAAAGGCTCTTTACCAACCAAACAACAAAAGCTTGATGAGGAAGTCCACATTGTATATCATTCACGATCATCAAGATCTAACACTTTATGATGATAACTACGTTTCAATAATCTCACAAAGAACTCACCATGTTTTATTTTCAGTTTTTAATATGAAATAGATTTTAATTTTTGGCATGCGCTTTTCTGAAGAGGCTGTGATTTTTTTTTTTTTTAAATTGAGATTTGGTACTTAGCATTGACAGAAGAACAAAAAATTTGGATTGGTGGTGGAAAGCAGGGGGTGTTAAAATGGATTTTCGGGTCGGATTCAGATCAGATATGGAGTTGACTTGGGTTCAAACTAGTTGACCTAGCCCCAACTCTAGTTTGCAAATAGGTTGGAAATTTCAACTCTACCTGATCCATTGAGTTATCGGGTTGACTCGACCAGACCAACTAACTCGGACAACCATTCAATATCGGGTATGGTGAGCGAGTACGAGGCATGTGGGACGTGCACGTAAGGACTGGCGAGTGCGGTGCGAGTGTGGTGTGGGCGAGGCAAGCACAAATAGGTGCGGAGCATGACAAGAGGCCTGTGGCCTGCCGAGCGCCGTGTAGTTTGTGCGCGCGTGGTGCGGCCAACCCAAACTCCACCCAGTTTTATAAACGGGACAAAATCTTAAATCCGAACCCGACCCACATGGCCAACGGGTTGACCTGAAACCAAAATTTTTCGGGTGGGGTCCGAGTTAGGTTTCATATTATGTCAAATTTTGTCACCCCTAGTGGAAATCAATCTAACTATGATGGGGATGTTTTACTATAACGTAGTGGAAAGAGAAAGATAAAATGGAATAAATATTATTTTTCTTAATCACAAAAAAAATTATACTATAAAATTATATTATTTAAAAATAGTATTCATGTTCTTTTAATTTATATTGATCCATTTATAAATATGACAGATACATACACAATATTTAAATTTTAATTATTTGCAAATTTATCATTCTCAGACCTCCATTTTAAAACTTACACTTAAATATCAAAATTCCCAATAAAAAAACTCAACTCGTCCTTTGCTTTTCTGTCAAATTCTAAGAGTAATGCAACCTCTCTTAGTATACATAAAATTTTATTTTGGAATTAGATAGACTTTGATAATTCCTCAAAAAATTGCCTTGATCTAGTACGAATCTCGAGGAATATTCAAATTGGAAACTTCCAAAATTAAATGATTGACCACTTGAAAGCCAATTTCAACAAATTTCTAGTAATGAGATGAATCCAACGACACCAAAATCAGTCCAATCTGAGCCCAATTGGATCCAAATCAAGGGACCAATTCACATTTAGAAGGTTTTAAGCATTAAATGAATAGCCAAACGAAATCCAAATATGGCATGTTTATAGACGAATCGAGCGGCTCAACCAAATGAATCAATGAGTACAAGATTGCCTAATTCTGACATCATTAAGGCACTTAAATGTTTAATGAATGCTCTATAATTATGGGAATCAATATGAGCTGTCTGATCGACCACTTCGATTTTTCTCTGAATCTTCTCCATATTTACGGAGCATGCAACTTCAAAAAAAAAGAACCCTTATTTTCCACATGAAGAGGGGGTGGGGAACTTGAATCTTTAGCTAGAGAATAGAGAGAGCTCTAAGGCTTCAAAAATCCTAGAGTTCTACCCAACCACCACTAACGACAAACTTCTGTCGACCACTACTGGACCTTTGATAGGCCACCAATCACCGTTGGATGCCGCCCGGCTGCCAATCTTCGTCGGACCACCGCCAAACCCCGATCTATACTAGACTTTAGCTCGACGACCAACGTTGGACCATTGCATGGCTGCCGGACCACCACTCAACCGTCGACCGTCTCTAGACAACCTCTCGTTCATCGACCATCACCAGACCACCACCCGTTTATCAATCACCGGATCTTCGCCCAGTAGCTTGCTGCTGTCAGATTTCCTTTCACTGTCGACCGTCAACTATAGTTCCGCTCCCGCCGACCACCATCGACTGTCGACCTGCGTAAACCGGTTTTGTGCCACATTTGATTTGAATAATAATATGCAAATCTACTAAATCAGTGGATCTTATAATAAACTGTTTGTTGGGATCATTTTATATTACTCTTAGCTCCTCCAAATTTAAGGTATTGTGGATTCCGACAAATTATGAATATAATGCCTGTTTGATTTAGTGATTTGACTTTGGAAACAAAAGTTGCTATCATTTGCTGATAGATTTTAGTTATTGAGATGGACAATTTGGAATTACCTTTTTTACTGAATTCATTTGGTTATTTTATTGAAAGGTTTGAGAAACAAATCTTATCTTTAGTTAGTAATTTTTGACTTAGGGGTTGTTTAGTTGGAAGTGCCTGTAAAGTAAAGAAAATATAGGAGTTTTGAAAAATTCAGTATTTGGTTGAATGAAATGCAAAAGCATGATAAATTAAAGTGAATATAGTGTAATCCATTTTAATTCATTTTGAGCTAAATCATTCTCACCTAGTTTTGCGTGAGAACTATTTTTACGGTTCTAAAGCTAGCTTGAGCATCACTAACGACCATCATTTCCACTGCCATTTTGTTGCCAGCCAGCACCCTCCACCATCTAGCTTAGGCTAGTTTATTTGGTTTAGAATTGGGTATAGGCCCATAAGTTCTCAAGTTGGTGGGTTAAACTTGGGTCCAATGGGCCCAATGTCCCTCATTTATTATCTCTATGCACCCCAATCTCTATATGCTCTATCCATAAATCCAACAACTCTACCATTACAAATATCAATCATTCTCACATCTAATGCTAGCGATCACATTCCTATTTATCATTCTCGCTACTATCAACCTAAGGGTGTCACTTTCGGTTAACGGGTCAGGTTTGGGTCGAACCCGGAATTGATCCGGGTTCAAACAGGTCGACCCTAACCCAACACGGGTAGGTAAACAGATAAAAAATTCGAACCCGGACCTGACCTGGCGGGTTGCCGGGTTGACCCGACTCGACACGGGAACACATGGACGCGGGACCTGACATGGGCGAAGCGGACGCGAGAGCCTGGGCAGGGTTCGCGAACAGCTGCACGGGGGCGGCCAGGCGAGTGCGTGGGCGAGACCATTTCCGGATTGGGCATTTGGGCTTAGCCGCTTGGCCGAGAGGCCCGAGATGGACACATGCTAGCCACTAGGCCAGGTGAGACAGCGGGCAGACCTAGACCCGCGTCAACTTCAAATTGATTTTAGGTTGCCAGTTCAACCCAAACCCGACCCGATTTTAAAAACGAATCACATTTTTGAACCAGAACCTGACCCATTTGATAAACGGGTTGACCCTAACCCGAATTTTTTTGGGTCGAGTCGAATCGAGTTTTCGTACCGTGTCAAATATTGACACCCTAGTTATCACAACGTCTCATTCCCTCAATTGTATTCAAATATTCTTTATCATCCTTGCATGTGACATACCCACATTCCTTGAGCCCATACCCAATTGTGCTCCAATCGCCTCCATCTAATAACTTATATATATATATATATATATTAAATAAAACATTTAGATAAATTTTATAATTAAACAAATATAACAAATAAATTTTTAAATCCATTTTACAAACAAATAATATTAAAAGTTTCAAATGCACTATGTCAATATGCCATTTCGCTTTGTACTTCTAAAGTACATGAGATAAATACCTATATATAATACCGAATTAGTGTTTAAGCTTTAAATAAATATTGTGGATAGACGACCATATTTTCAATGTGCTTGCTATAAAGTAAAAAAAAAAAAAATGTTCAAGCCTATCCGAGAATCGGTGTTCTTTAATGATCCGTGCCGGAGCCAAACTCCTCAGTCCCGTCGACAGAGAACACTACGGCACTAGTTAGAAGCCACGGTAAGAAAACTACATAGTCTGTGGCGATCGGCGATCATTTATTGCGGTTCCAAATCCTCGTTTCCTATTCAATCCTCTTCTCTGCGTTGCCGGCAGAAGCAGCAGTTCGTATCGGATGGACTTCGCCAGGAAGCCCATACAATCTGCAGGAAGAATGGCCTTCCGAATTGCGCGGAGCAGGAGCAAGAGTACTGCTCCTGAGAAAATCACGTCTTCTTCCTCCGAGGATCTTATGAGAATGGAACAGCAGCATGGTGCTCACAAGTAAGCAGCTTTTTTTAAACTTTGTGAAGGATGTTTGATCTATTGTTGATACGGGCTTGATTTTGGCTTCTGATTAGTTATCCCTTTTTTATGTTGGTAAATGGTAATGGTTGTGGGAATTAAGATAATTACTCTTTTATTGCTGTTACATGCCAGTACATTCATGACGGTAGAGAAATATAGAGAGTTTAATGTCTTAGCTTTGTACGAAGATCTATTATACATGTAGATAAGAGAGAGGGCTGCAAGGGTCATGAGACACCAGAAAAATGAAAAATCCTAAAATGGGAAAAAAATTACGGGGCCTCATCAGTTTAAATGATTCCACTGATATTTTTTTGTTGATTACAAATGACGATCTTCCTTTGGGGAAGGCATTGGCATAATGCAACAATATATAAATCATATATAACATATTATATGGCTAGAGTTGGAAGAATCCAATAGCATGAGAGCTTTCTTAAGAAATATTGACTTGTTTGTTTGGTCGGCAGGACCGTAGTCAAGCAACAATGGCCGAACAGTCGTAGTTTGGCAATGGTGGTCAAAGAGATAGTAATTGGGCAGCTAAGGTCTGATGAACTGTAGGGGCGATTGAGGTTAATCGATAGTTGCAGGAACTGTAGTTTGACAATGATAGTCGGATGGACCATAATCGGCGACTGAGGTTGGATGGACCATAACTATGTTGCATCGATACACCTATTTATGAAGGCATGTTGTATCGAATACGTGTCAAACACGGATACACGTTCGATACGGCACAAATACGTGTCAGATACGGTACCGATACGTGTCAAATAAGGCAAAGACGTATCCAATTAAAATAAAATTTAATTTCAAAAGGACACGCGTATCGGCTATGCATGTCCCGTTGAATAATAAAAAAAATTAGCGAGACGAGGCGCTAGGGCTGCGAGCGAGGGTTCTCTCATTTCCGAATCCGCGAGATGAGGCGTTAGGGCTTTTTCGTTTCTACGATCTTAGGGCTTCTTCATTTCATCGAAGGAGCAGGACAGGAGAGCCGACTGACACCGAGCAGGTGAGATGAGTGTACGCGAGATCAGGCGAGGCGATACGAGCGTTCGTTTACGCGAGACAAGGCCAGACAACCGTGAGCTTGCAGGAAGGTTCGTTCTTTCACTATGTCGAAAGAACAAGGTCGAAGATTTGTTTTTATCCTCGATTACGAGGATTGAAGGTTCGTTTCCATCGTCGATTACGTGAGAGTCGAGACGAGGCCACATGAAGGTTCGGTTTGTTTCCACAGTCTTCTAATATTGCCTTATTTAATTTTTTTCATGAGAAAAAATCATTTTTTATTGATTCTTCGATTAGCAAATAATTTCTTTGCTTTTGAATGCTTTCACATGTAAAATTTGCTAGTTCAACCATTTAAATTCACTAGCGATTGAAGATAGTATGTTTACTTGTTTAGCTTCTTCATTAATCCTTCCTCATGCAAATTGTATTCCTTTTTTTCAAGAGCTTCATAAATTCTTATTAATAAAAATATAATTACAAAAAAAGTGTAATTATGTTACAAAATTTGAGCTTTGATTATCTAATTAATTTAGCTCTATAGTGGAATCATGCAACAACATAATTAGTAGAATCATGCCCCAAAATTCTTGTTAGGCAATGAGTTTTAACTCTTCCCTTGAATCGTTGATTATTTAGTATTTGAACTTTGTATCTGGAGTTATAACATTTTAACCAACAATTTGCGTCAATCCTTTTATAAAGGAAAACTCCAATTTATATGAAAAGAGATAATAGGATGTGGGATGTTGCTGGAGATGGATTTGAGTCTCTTGATGATATGAGAATATTATAATTTGCTACTCTTTCATTTGGTGAGCCTGAATTGGAAGCTATTATATTTATTGAAGATGATATAGAAGTTCAAAAGGAAACCACTGAAGAAGCTAATCCTATCATACCTTCTATTGAATAATTGAAACTTCATGTGCTAGACATATGTTTATATTTTTGTTAAGTACTAGACATTTAATATTTACTTATATTTTGATATTATAAGCTACAAGGATACAAATAATGTTGCTTTCATTTTTTTTGTCATTTCAAATATTATGCTTTAATTTCTTTCTTAATTTTTATATATGACTTATAAATTATAACACTATGCCCGCGTCATACCCATATCTTATATTTTTAAAAATTGATGTGACATGTATACGTATCGCGCGTGTCATATCTCTGTCGTCGTAGCCGTATCAATACAACATAGGACCATAATAAGGTGACAGAGGTTGATGAGATTGTTGTTGGGAGATAGAGGTCAGTGGGATGGTAAACGGGCGATTGAGGTCGGAAGGACCATAGTTGGATGACAGAGGTTAAAGGGATTGTAGTTAGGCAACAGTGGTTCAAGGGATTGTCGTCGGGCAACGGAGGTTGAATGGACCGTAGTTAACAATGATGGTTGGAGGGACTGTAGTTAGACGATGGAGGTTGAATGGACATTAGTTGGGCAACAAAGGTTAGAGGCACTTTAGTGGGACGACGGTGGTCTGCAGATCGTAGTCGGGTAACGGGGGTCTGAGGATCGTAGTCGGACGATGGTAGTTTAAAGATAGTAGTCGATAAGTGAAGGAGGTTAGAAGGAATATAGTCGAGCAATGATTGTTTGAGGACTGTAGCAGGGCGATGATGGTTTGAAGACTGTAGTCGTCGGGCGTCCTAGGTTGGAAGGACCTTAATTGGAAGACAGTGGTCGAAGGGCTGTAATCCGGCGATAGTGGTCGAAGGACTATAGTCACCCGATGGAAGTCGTAGTCGGGCGACAGAGGTCTGAGCCTTTGAGGGATCGTAGTCGGGTAATAGAGGTCTAAGGGACTGTAGTAAGGTGGCAAAGGTCGGAGGGACCATAATCGGGCAACGAAGGTCAGATGGATTTAGTCGGCAACAGTGGACTGAGAACCGTAGTAGAACAATGGTAATCCAAGGACTGTAGTTGGGGGACAGAGGTTGGAGGGACTGTAGTCGTGTGACGGGGTTTGAGGATTGTAGTTGGATGGTGGAGGTTGGAGGGACTGTGGTCGGGCGACTGAGGTCAAAGGGACTGTAGTCAAGCGATTGTGGTCTAGGGATCATAGTCGGTTGATGGTGGTTGTGGATCATAGTCCAGGAGAAGAAGGTCAGAGGGACTGTAGTCTGGTGATGTAGGTCGTAAGTCTGTAGGATCATAGTTATCGGGTGAAAAGGTTGTAAGGACTGTAGTCGGACGACGATAGTCCAAGGACCGGATTCGTGCACGATCTAGGCGATTTTGGAGACGTATCAATTCCATATGGAGCTTCAAGTTGAATTATGGTAGTGAAATATAATGACCATATTTTGATTAATCTGCTTAAGCGTTGGAATTTTTGATTGGCACCCCCTCTATGCGTTTTCCATTGAGATTGGCCCTACTTGTGTGCATTTACTTCCTCTTTTAAGTTGCGGAGCCTATTTTTTGTTCTGTGAAGAGAACATGCTGCACATGCTTAGTTTTGGGTCGACCTTTATGATAAGGTCGTTGCATAGGTTGGAGTAGGGCAGGACTCAAAGGGGACAGAGAGTAGAGTACCCCTTATGGGGTTTGGGGGCCCCACAAAATATAAAATATTTTTGGTATTTTATTAATGGAATTTTGGAAAAAATTTTATACCTGTTTGGTTGCTTAAAGTTCTCTCTTTATGAAAAAAAGGGGAGAGTGGATTCTTTTATGTGTCTTAAAAATTAAGGTTATAATTATAATTGTTGAAATCCAGCCGTTCCCATTGCGAAGGATCCGACGGTCACAGAAGGCAATCCGTGGGAATCTCTCATGGATCACACCATAATGAAGGAACTACTTTAGGAAAGAGTATTTTATGTTTTAAATTTGTAATTTGTTGTTTCCTTATTAAGATATCTTGTATAGATCTATAAATATTAAATAGGGAAGATATTACGGAATAAAGTCAAGCTTTTCCTCTCCAATTCTCTGAATTTAACAATAATGAATAGTAAAATCTACAATAATATAAACCATCAATCAGGTGAATTTATATAAATTTTTTGTAATTTTTTCGTCATTGATCTTCTTTTCTATATTTTGAATTTTTTCTGCTCTCTATATTTGCATAGAATTTGCCCGTCTTCAAACCCCCGGACTGGCTTTTACCCTCAAGAGAAGCAATTTCAATATTTATTTTTATAAAGAGGATCGTAATCTTTTTCCTAAGCAATATGAGACTAAATTTTTTTAACATAGCTTTTGAAAACTCACATGATTTGGTCTTTGAAATACACACTAATGTAAAAAATTGTGCAATAATCACCCACATAATTCAATATCAAAGAATAATAATAAAATTCAATGCTTGGAGAATATGATATAATGCATTAACATTAGTGTTTATTGAATTATGAACCAATGCATAGGAAAAGTAGAAAATGTTGGCTACTTGGTTTCAAGTTAGGCAGATAAAAGATGAGGGAAAGCCATCTGAGATGATTAGGTGGCCCAATCAAATATTGCATAATCTATTTTAGTGCCAGTTCATGTCATTACAACATTCAATGACAGGTTCATGTTCGGCATTGATGAATTTGTCTTAGTGTGAAAATACATACTGCAGAAATTTCTCATTGGTGTCAAGTTTGAGTATCATCTAGAGTTTTTTGAGGTTGTGGGGTGCTTAGTCTTCGGGGTTTTGGGAGTTTGAGGAGCTTAGTTTGAAGATGATTCATAGAGGAGATCTAGAGTATAATTATAAATTATTAAGCAAAGGGGGTGAATTTTGAGAATTTATCTAAATAATTTTGTCAAGATAAACACAATATTCAAAATAAGTGGTTTTAGGTTAAATATAAAATATACTTAATTTGTATAAAATCCAATTTGAAAGTCTATTGCTAAAATTTTTATTTTGGATAGCTTTAAGTCAAGTTTTAGATTTGGTTTAGATTTAAAATCCACTCAATTTCTATAAATAGGAGACGAAAATGAGGATTAAATGTACATGAGAGTGTTGTGAAAATTTGTCCATGAGCTCTAATGTGAGGAATTTAATTGGCTTTAGAAAATCAAAGCAACAGGCTCCATAATGACCAGAGAGAGGAGGGGAATAAGGAGGAGAGATCGAAGGAAAAGCGAAGAGATAAATTAAGAGAAACTTTTATTATTATTATTGTTATTTTAATATGGTGAACTATCTTGACAGTGTAATCAAAGAACCGCAAGAAATAATGACAGTTATATATATATATATTCATGATGATACCATTTTGAAGGATCATTCAAGTGGAGATTTTCTTGTATCATTTAAACACTCCTTTTTTATCTTTTTTTTTCCTCTCTTTTGTGTGTTTTTCTCCTATTTGGCTTGAGAGATAGGGGCTTCTCTTTTGTTTTGAGAGTATGTGTACTTGGGTTTGGGAAAGGATATTTTCTTGGGTGGTTGTGCCCTTTAAGAGAGCATTGTTACTCTCCCAAATAAATCTACATAAATTTAATTTGAGTCCACTTTTTAAGATTGGCTTGGAAAAAATAGGGATTGCCATACTATTTTTTAGAGAGAGTTTTTATATGTCAGTGGTCACTGAATCAAATTATGATATTTTTGTTATGTAGGTATATATATATATATATATATATAGTAACACACCTTCATTATTTAGATTCAATTATCTCATTGATTATCTTGCCACTTAAGCTTAATTTCAAAGAGAAGCCAGTGGTATACTTAAAGAGCGTTAAATGGATTCTACATTTGCTTATCGACTAATGTGCAGCTACCATCCAATTCCTATGGTATTTTCTCAAGCTAAGGGCACTTTTATATGGGATCCTGAAGGAAACAAGTACATTGATTTTCTCTCAGCATACTCAGCCGTTAATCAGGTATTGTTAGTCCTAACTTTATGTACCATACCTTCATCAATTCATGCCATATATTGGCTAGGATGGTATTTATTTTCTACAACAATAACAACATCAAGCCTTTATCCCACTACATGAATCCTTTTTCTCCATTGTACCTTGTTAAAAGTTAAATTCTCATTTTAATCTAATAAAGAAAGGTCATTTCTAATATTTTCTAATCAAGTCTTTTTAGGTCTACCTCTACCTTTTTTAACATAAGTCAAATCTAATACATCTACTTTCCTAACCGGATCATCCGAAGGCCGCCGTTTTATGTGACCAAACCATCTAAGTCGACTCTCTCTAATCAAGGATGGCATTTATTTTCTATTGCCATTAATTTCCAATTTATATATCAAGAGTTGTTTCTTTTCAAAATTGGTCTCTTGCCTATTTTTTAGATTTTAGCTTTTAGTACCTTCCGTTGTTAAAATTCTTTGGATTCAACTTATTGATTTGTCTTTTGCATTATCTTTTTGGGAATTTTTTGGAGGGACATTGCCATCCAAAAGTTATGAAGGCCCTAGTGGAACAGGCTCAAAGGCTCACTCTCAGTTCAAGGGCATTTTATAATGATAAATTTCCAATCTTTGCGGAGTACGTGACTAGTCTATTTGGATACGATATGGTGCTGCCTATGAATACTGGTGCTGAAGGTGTGGAAACTGCCTTAAAGTTGGCACGGAAATGGGGTTATGAAAAGAAAAAAATTCCCAAAGATGAGGTGAGGCAATTTTTCAAATTATGAAAATATACATTTGTTGTGTCATTTTGTTTGCAAGATAATGCCGACTTTATTTCTCATGCTAAATTTATGCCAATATGTACCAGGATCTAAGGATTCAAAAGAAAAAGGAAATGATAATCCTTGGTTCTAGATAATTATTTATGATAAACTATCAAATTTTTAGTGCCATTAATATATAACTTTTATTGCAACTATGAATCCCTTTTTTTTAGTAGAAGATTGAATTTGTAAAACTGATAGATGCACTAATAGGGTATACATTGTGCATATTCATTCATTTTAATATTGTATTTGAGTAAGTCATTATCATCATCCTCAGCTTGAAAAATCCTCCTCTATTCAATCCCAAGTCTACTATACACAAGTTTTTTTTTTTTTTTTTTATTCTAGCCATATTAATTTTAGCCTACTCTTTTTCACTCCTATTTCTTCCACGTTAATTATATCAACCTACCTTTTTGGTGAATCTTTGAACCTTTTAGTTTAGGTTCAAACCACTAAAATATGCTTTTGCTATCTTATCTTCAGTAATATTACTTCCAATATCAATAATATATTTATTTCTTACTCCATCCTTCTTAATTACCATATATCCATTTGAACATTCTCATTATACTAAAATAAATTTGATTCCCTATGATAGTTTCTTTAGTTGTTCCCAATAAAGTTTAGATAACTCTCCATTTTTTTCTTTATCATACAGTACTTATGGGCTGCTTCATTTTGGTCTCTCAATATTATCTCTGAAAATTATGTCATCATTTATATCTCTATTCCTTGATAATAAATCCAATGTACGTAAACTTATAACATTTTGAATCACTTGATATATTACTTTTGATTGATAAATTATGGATCATATCCATTATAATTGGATTTCATGCTATTAATCTTTTAATTCTTTGAGCTAAGCCTTTATCTTATGAATTTTTTTTTCATGATTGTAACGTCTTATTCACTTAGCAATGTTCTCACTTTTAAGAATTATGTCATTGTTAAAATAGCTTTTATCTTATGATTATCTTTTTTTAGCATCTATATAACTCACACAAAAAGTTATGAAAGTAGTGCTGATTTTTTATGTGATTCTATTATGATTTTCAAGACTTTGATCACTTCACAAGTGCTTATTTTTGGTCACTTTATAATATATATAATGACATTATTAAATCTTTGTCACATCTCCTTATTGGATAAAATTCTAAGAAATTCAGCTCAAGTCTAAATGATTAGAAAATTTTATAGGATGATCTTAAGGTTATTATTAACCTCTGAATTTAATTCCCTGTTTTGAATTCATTTTCCTAGAAAACTAGCAAACCCTAATCCTAGGAGAAATTAGATTAACCTATGGATATAGGGCATTTCAATAGTTAATAAAAAAATTAATAAAAATAAGAAAAATATATAATCAATTTCGGAAAAAAATAAGAAAAATAATTGCACACCAAATTAAAACACGAAAATGCTTCAAAAAACTTTGAAAATCTTTATATTCTAGATACTTTTTCGTTGTTTTTTTAGGAACAAAATTTGACTTGATGTATATTTTTTGGGCGTGAAATAAAATTGCTCATCCAATATTAACATAATTTTCATAGTTTTGATTCTATTATCTTGTCTCATAGCTTCATTGCAAGGTTTATAAGTTTGTTTTCACTATAATTATGATGATCTTTGAAATTTCTTTTGCTCTTAAATATTGGTATTAAATTAATTTAGTGTCAATCATTTAAAATTCTCTTAGTATTTATTTATCATGATTATTATAATTATTTGCTAATTCTTACCTATTTAGTGTCAACCTTATCTTATATTCATTTGAGTATTACATTTGGTATTAAGTTTACTTCACACTATTTTTTGCATAACCTCTACTCATGCTATCTTTCCTCTCATTTCTAAATTCTAATGCAATGCATCACACTCATAATCGTTGTCATCATCAGCAGTACCTAGGACATGTCTTGGTGTATCTTTTCTCTCTCTCTTTTTAAATTATTTTTTGTTACTTCAGAAGATGTCTCTACTATTGAACATGTTAATTGCGAATAAAGTATGTTAATTAATCTCCTTTTCAACATCTTATGTAGGCATCTTTATATTCAATAAAAAATAAAAGCTTCATGTTAATTCTTGATGCAAACTTATCATGACCGGAAACTTTTTGGTCATAGCACAATCATTAAAAATTTTGGCCACTACTCTATACTTTTTTGTAATACCTTTAATATACCTCTAGCACATCTTATTTTTTAATGGCTAGAAAATCAACTTCTATAATACTTAAATTTTAGGCCTTTTTATGATCTATAAAAATTAGATGAGGATTATTTCATTATTTTATATACTTTTTTTTTATTGATTGTCACCTCAATATTACATGTTATTAGCATAAAATAGTTTGATTCTTTAATCTTTACATAATTTTTAATAAGTTTATGGTCCATTACCTCTTGTGCAACTTCATTGTATAACTTATAAGGTTATTTCCCTTACAATTCTCATAACCTACCGCATCTCTTTTATTCATAAATACTAGTACCAAATTGCTTGTTCTCCGATTGTCTGCATCTTCATAACTTGAATATTTCATTTTTATAAATTTACTAACCGGTGTCTTTATCATCACCTTTAACTCTCAAAATCTCAATTAGCCTATTTAATGAACTTAAAACCTTACATTTGTAAACAAATTCAACTTTACATTTTGGAATAAATTTATAGTGTAATTCATCATTTCATTCATTTATTTCTTCTAAAGAAATTTCTTTGTTAAAACCACATTTAATATTTTCTCAAAATAATATTCAGCTAATTTCTTAATATTTTTGTCCTTAAAACTTAGATTTTATTATCTTCACTCTTGATTTATATACCTAACTTGATTAAAGCTTTTTGATTCCTGTATCTTTATTTTCTTGCTTGAGTTATTTGATACACTCATTTAGAACAGATGATGACTCTAAGGCTTCGATTAGGACGGCTTTTTTTTTGCTTCTTAAACCAGCTTTCTAGTACAAAAATTTTTAATTTTGTACTATAAAGCTATTTTAAGAAGCAGAAAGAAAGCTGTCCCAAACGAAGCCTAAAATTTGACCAATGGATTATTGTTTAGGGTGAATTTTTTTAGGTATTCCGTTTTGCATTTGTATAATTATTGTTTATTTGTTATCTACGCTTTTGTGTGGGACACTGGGACTCTTATCTGCCACTGTACAATTTATCTGAAATAATTCTTAGTATGAGGATGGGCAAATTCTTTTGCTAAAAAAACAGTGTTCAATGACCTTAATGTTGGCTTGCATTCATTATTTATGGAAATTATTGATGATTCTGTTGTTCGATTAAAGGAATTTACCAATGCTTCTATTGTTTGATGAACTTTGGAACATGATTTTGTTCTTACGTTTTAACTGCTAACATTGAAGTACTAGCATATAAGAATGATAAGGAGCTGGAAGATAAATTTAGAACTTTGTTCTCATTTTTGGGCTACTCATGCAGGCTATCATAGTCTCCTGTTGTGGATGCTTTCATGGTCGGACATTGGGTGCAATATCAATGAGCTGTGACAATGATGCAACTCGTGGTTTTGGTCCCTTGGTTCCTGGTCAGCTGAAGGTTGATTTCGGTGATGCCAATGCTCTGGAGAAAGCATTTAAAGGTTTGTGATGTGGATTGTACTTCGTCTTCAACTAAATCCATTAACTTTACCCACTCACATTCATAATTTTTTTACGAAATAGTATTGTAGTTATGTTTGATTTGCTATTCGTTTTATTTTCAGAGCATGGAGATCGGATATGTGGATTTTTGTTTGAACCCATTCAAGGTGAAGCGGGAGTATGTATGCCAATTGCTTAATATTTACATGAAATTTCTTATTTTTTCAATTTTTGTCCTCATATTTGAAAGAGTTTGTAGAAGTTACTTGTACCTTATTTAACAATATTAATGAACTTGGTTTCTCTTGGTAAGCATTCTGATACGCCTTAGGTTTCACAAATTAGGGTTTGCCCTAATTTCCCCTCAAAAAAAGAGAAATTTCTCCACCAAAACCAAATGAGAAACAATCACAAGAGGGTTGAGATGAAAAGTAAGAACCTTTGCATTAGAAAGCCAAGAGAAAACAAGATAAGTTTGTTCACTTCGAGAAAGACAAGATCTCCCACAAGAAAACCCTAGAAAAGCACAAGAAAAAGACTAGAGGAAGAAAAACTAGAAAGAGAATACACTTTTTATAATCCCCCAAAAACTAAACCCTAATGGCTCCCTTCATACCCTTTCCAAAAGATCCTCCCATCCCCAAAATACCCCCACTTAAGTGGGTGGGTCCCCTTGGTCCAGCCGGTTCCCCGCCCCCCCTCTCTTCCGCCTGTAGACCCGCACGGGTCCAGGCGGGTCCAGTTCACCCGGTCCATCAATACCGCCCTCTAGAAGATCAACCTTGTCCTCAAGGTTGAAATCTGGAAATTGCGCCTGCATGGCTTCGTATATCTCCCAAGTAGCCTCGTGTGTCGGTAAGTCCTTCCACTCGATGAGAACCTCCCTTTTGCCTTGATCATTCTTCCTCACTTCCTTCAC